TCTTTCTTTCTTTCTTTCTTTCTTTCTTTCTTTCTTTCTTTCTTTTTTAAATTGTAAGATAGGAAGCTTTTTGCAGCTTTGCCTTATCTGGATGCGTCTGCTTGGTATTTCTGGGATTGAGAGTGCCCTCTTATGGTGACATAAAAATAGTTTAAGACTCTGGAAGTTTCTGAGATTTTAGAGTTTTGTGTAGCCCCGAGTCGCCATCTGACATTATATTCAGATTTCACATAGTATTTGCTGGGTCCAGTCTTAAAAGAATCTGAAGGATGCCAGCTTCCTAACAAGAGTAACCTGTTAAATTTCATTGTTGCTAGGTGGAACGGCCCCCTTCTCCATTCTCAATGGCCCCGCAAGCTTCCCTTCCCCCAGTGCCACCGCGACTTGACCTTCTGCAACAGCGTGTGTCTGTTCCTCCAAGTGCTTCTGGTCTAGGAACTGCCCCCAAGGTACAGCACTGTCCGTTTCTTCCGTTTTGTGTTTCTTTTTGTACATTAGTGGGTTTTGATAGATTGGCTTCATCTTGCTTTCACAGGCTGCTGCTTCCTCTCTTCATAAGGACAAACCGCTGCCAATACCACCTACTCTTCGAGATCTTCCACCACCACCCCCTCCAGAACGGCCATATGCTGTTGGAACAGAAACCCGACCTCAGAGACGCCCCCTGCCTTGTACACCAGGCGATTGTCCATCCAGAGACAAACTGCCCCCTGTACCCTCTAGCCGTCTGGGGGACTCATGGTTACCCCGGCCAATCCCCAAAGTACCAGTAGCTACTGCAAGCCCTAGTGACCCCTGGACTGGAAGAGAATTAACCAACCGACATTCACTTCCGTTTTCATTGCCTTCACAAATGGAGCCCAGAGCAGATGTGGCTAGGCTTGGAAGCACATTCAATCTAGATACTTCCATGGTGAGTCTCAATTTTGAAATTAACCCATTAACACATATTTGTGGATGGCATTTTATGGGTCAAGTTTTTTGTGTTAGGTTTTGAACAGAATTCAGAGATAAGTAACAGAATCTCCAATCCTCGAGAAGTCTGTATGTTGGGCTGAAGGTGTGGTTTAATGATAGAATGCTTGCATAGGATGTTCAAAGCCCTGGATTCCATCCCAAATGCTGGGAGAAAAAGTATGTTAACAAGACAAATAAGGCAGTTGTGTGTCAGTAAGTGTCCTGTATAAATACCGTAAGTAATATAACTAGAAATCTCTTTATGTTTTAGAAAAAGGAGGAATTCTAGCTAGAGCAGTTGTGAGGGCTCTTAAAAAAAGGCATGTGAATCTAAGAGTTCTTTGAAAAGTAGATACAAGGGATTTTGTTGCTATGGAAAATAAGATCACAAAAGACTTGTTACGTGCCTGACTCATGGGAGTACTAGAGTCCATATGCAGTTTTATGTTAGATTATAGCCACAGAGTGCTTAAGGTGTTTTATGGAATGATGAGTGGAGCAGAGATTTTTTTATACCAGAGCAGAGGAAAGGAGTACAAAGGAGCAGTCATACTAGATTACCCCGTCCCCCGGATTTGAATTTATTTGGTAGGAAACAGTGAATGTTTGAAGGTTTTCAGTTAATGGATTGAAAAAATGTAATAGTAATATGCAGACTAGGTTGAAGAAAGATAGGAAAAGACTGGACATGGGAGAGGATTTCTCCTTTTGCCAGTTCAGTTGTGCACACAATAAAAATTCTTGCCTTCACAAAGCTTACACTCTTAGTAGGAGGATGATGGGCAGTAAGCAAGTGAGTGCATTACATAGTGTGCTCACAGCGACAAGTGCTGTGGAGAAGAAGTGTTAAAAAAACGGTCTATGGAGAGCTGGAGTTGGAGTTGGCAGTATAGGAAGAGATGTGATACAACTCTGAGTAAAGACCAGAAACAGTAGGGAGAGAACCATGCTCCTCTGAAGTAGAGGGAAAAGAACTGAGTTTGGGAGAGTCTATTTGAGAAATAATGAAGGGATATAGTGTAGCAGGTGCTGTGCAGCCAAGAGGGAGAGGCTTTGTCTCTGAGCAGAAGTGGGCTGCCCAGTTAGGTGGAGCTTTTAGAGAGTACAAAACAGATTAAGACTCAAAAATAGTCAGGAGGTGGCGAAGACAATGAAAAGTCCATACATACATCCTGAACTTTTTTTTTTTTTTTGGTTTTTCTCCGGTACCAGGAACCGAACTCACGACCTTGCGCTTGCCAGGCAGGCGCTTTGCCACTGAGCTAAATCCCCAGCCCACATCCTGAACTTTTGAATCTGGCTAAGTAAGGACATTTGAATTTGAGATAAACCTTTGACAGGTAGTTGGAAATTTGAGGAGGAAGTGAAATAGGAAGGATGAAGTTGAAGAGTGTTACGGCACCCAGATGGGTATTTCCATTTAAGTGACATCTGTGTGATAGGCAGTGTAATGAGTGAGAGTGGCTCAGTGTGACTTTTTGGTGACATTAGTGATCATTTTGAGTTTGAGTATAGATTATTTAAGCTATAAATGGTGTTTGCATAAACAGCTAATTTACTTGAAGTTTTACAGTATTTAAACAAACAGTAAAGCCCATTTCCCTAACTCTTTCTAGATCTTTGCCTTCTTTACCTTAAGTTTGAGCATTTTTCAGGGCCTGAAGGCAGCACCGCTTTTGGCCAGTGTGATTGCTCTTGGGATAGCATGATGGCACTGAGCAAGGTCTGCGTCAGTATTAGTATCCTTGTGGTTGTGACTAGGTTAAGAGGAGCAGCTTAGCTGTGGTAAAGAGGCTGTTTTCAACACCTTTCTTTGCTTTCCAGAATATGAGTAACAGTCCATTAGCAGGTCCAGAATGCGAGCACCCCAAAATTAAACCTTCCTCATCTGCCAATGCCATTTATTCTCTGGCTGCCAGGTAAGTTTACTAAAGTTGTATTTCATTTGGTAACATTGGTACTTTTAAGTACTTGGTTTATAGAAAATTTAGGAAACTCAGGAAAATATAAAGAAGAAAATACAAGTTGGTCTGTGTTTGTACAATGTAGAAGTTATTTTATGTTTTGAACTCCTTCCTTCTGTTCTTGTTTCTGTGTACATGTGTATAAATCATCCTTGTTGGAGCTTGTCAAGTTTATTAATCTTTTCAAAAAAGCAATTTTGGCTTTGTGATTTTTATTCTTACTGGGTATTCACTTTCTATTTAATTGCTATCTGCTCTTTTATTCTTCCAGCTCTTTAGCCTTAATTTGCTACTTTTCTAGCATCATAAGATGGGTGATCTCTTAGGCTTCTTCACCTGCTATAACAGAACACTGTACAGTGGGTGTAATTATTTCTTCACAGTATAGAGGCTAGAAGTCTGGGAGGAGGGTGCCAGCAAGGCCAGTTTCTAAGAGGACCCTCTTCCTGGCGTGTGGGTAGCTGCCTCTGGTGTGTGTGTGCAGGAGAATGAGTGAGTGCTCCAGGCTCTCTTACAAGGGCACGAATCCTGTCCTGTCAGGACGTCATCCTGTGACCTCATCCAGCCTTAATTTAGTATCTCCTATGAGTGGCTCCATCTCCAAATATGGACAAACTGGGGATTAGACCTTCAGCATAGGATTTCAGGAGTATACAAACATCAGTCCAAAACACATACTTAGCTGCGTTGACAAATTTTGGTATGTCATATTTTCATTATCATTTACTTAAAATATATTCTTTTTCATTTATGATTTCTTCTCTAATGAGTTGTTTATGAAGTACCTGATTCAAACATTAGAAGATTTTTCTGGTTACCCTGTGACTGCTTTCTGGCTTCATTCAAACATTTTTTGTTTGTTGTTGTTTTCCTATACTTGGGATTGAACCCAGGGCCTTTGCACTGAGCTACATCCCCAGCTCACCCCTTCTCTCCCTTAAATTTGAAACAATGTCTCCCTAAGTCACTAAGTTGCCCAGGCTGGACTTGAGCTTGCAGTCTTCTTGCCTCGGTTGCCCAGATTGCACCACCACACCCAGCAAGGCCATATTTTTTATTCACAAGTTTATGGTAAAATCCAGTAATACGTACCATGTTCATCTTATAAAAATGTGTGTTCTGGCCAGGTGTAGTGATGAATGCCTGTAATCCCAGCGCTTAAGAGGCTGAGGCAGGAAGATCACCACAAGTTCAAGTCCAGCCTGGGCTACATAGTGAGTTCAAGGCCAGCGTAATGAGACTTGTCTCATAAAACAAAACAAAGTGGAAAAAAAATGTCATGCAGTTGCTGGATACAGCGTTTTTATATATGTCAGTGATGTCAAGTTTACATTTGTGTTTAATCTTCTCAGATTTTTAAAAACATACCTGTTCTGTTAGATAACTGAGAGAACTGTGTCTTCTCCTTTTCGTCCTTTTAAATTCTGACCGTTGTTTTCTATGTATGTTTATCCTGTATAGTTAAGAAAATAGAAATTTAAAATTATTGATACTAAATTAATTGGAAGCTTTTATATTATCATGAAGTGTATGCTGTAGTTCTACTTCTTTGTGGTGGGGGCATGTTAGCGGGAGTTGCACTCAGGACCTCCTGCTTGCCAGGCAGGAAGCTACATACCCATCCCTACAGTTCTGTGTGCTACTGAGCTACATCCCCACCCCTATAGTTATACTTCTTGCTTACCTTGTCTGCTTTGTCTTATATTAAAATGGCCACTTTCAACCTTTGTCTATCCTTATATTGAAAGTATATCTCTTTTGAGCAGTGTATACATGGAGGAGATTTTCCCCCATAAATCCACTATACCATTCTTTACCTTGAAGAAATTGAATCATTTGTCCTACTCCTTTCCCTATTTTTCCAATCTTTCCTGGGTTCATTTTTTTTCTGTTTTTATGCTGTTTTTGAATGGAAGTATTTCTGTTATACTGTGTCACCCTTTCTGTTATTCTTTTAATAGTTATCCTAGAAATTCCAATATGCATCCTTGGTTAGAGTGTACTTTATCTTTATTGATGGATTGATTTGTTGGTTGGATATTTGAGACAGGGTCTCCTATGTAGTTCAGGCTGACCTTGATCTCACGATGCAGACCACGCTGGCCTCAAATTCATGGTGATCATCCTGCCTAGGCCTCCTAAGTGCTAGGATTACAGGCCTGTGCCACCACACCCAACGAGACAGAGCCTTGCTACATATTCAGGCTGCATTGAGCTTGCTTTATCACCAACTTTCTACCCTCCTGCTTCAGCCTCCCAAGTGCTAGGAATACAGGCATTCACCACCATACCTGGCCTCACTCACATTTTTTTAAAAAGATATTTTTACTAAGTGCCATATATTCTGGAGTTACTTTCTCTTAGCATTTTAAGAATACCATTCCAAGCCGGGCATGGTGATACATATCTGTAATCCAAGCACTTGGAAGGCAGAGCCAGGAGTACCCTGACTTGGAGGCCAGCCTGAACTACCTACTGAGACTGCTTTAAAAAAAAAAGAAAGCTTATCCAGTACAATATTATTTGATATTTTAGGTTATTTTTTCAGTATTATAGATAATGCTATAGTGAGTATTCTTGATTGTTTCCCTAGGGAAAATTCTTAGGAATGGAATTTGAATTAAGACTCCGAAAAGAGTTGGACAAACGTTTTTATTTCTACAGCTATCTAAGAAAGTACCCATTTGTTGCCTTGTACCTTTACTGACACTTGGTGTTTTTAGTTAATCTGAATTGTTTCCCTCTGTGAAAATTAAAAACAGCCAGACGTGGTGGTGCACGCTTGTAATCCCAGCACTCAGGAGGCTGAGGCAGGAGGATCTTTGCAAGTTCGAGACCAGCCTGGGCTACAAAGTGAGTTCAAGGCCAGCCTGAACTGCATAGCAAGACCCTGTCTCAAAAGACAAAAAAAAAAAAAAAAAAAAAAAAAAAAAAACAAAAGAAAAGAAAATTACAAACAAAGTTGAACACTTGTGTAATTATCCTCTGGATTCAACTATTAGCATTTTATTGTACTGTTTTTTTATCACATACTATCTGTACTTCATCTTATCAGTCTATCTTGCTTGTTTGATATATTTCAAAGCAAATCACCTGTGAGGTAGTACATCTTTACTTGATAATTTCAGCATGTATTACATAAATTTTAAATGAGTACTTGCCTATACGTAGGCGATTTTTCAATGATGACAGTAATGTGTAAGCTGGGTATTAGTCCTACCTATTTAGGAGGCTAAGATGGGAGGGTCGCTTGAACTAAGGGATTCAAGGCCAACTTGGGCAGCATAGCAAGAGCTCCGTCTCACAAAAATAAACCCATTTGAGATACAGAGGACTGTTGTGTTCTCTTTTGGGTTTCTGTAACAGTTGTTTTATACTAAACATGTGTTGCTTTTATACTTAACAAAACTAAACATAAGTAAATACAGGGAGGCAAATGTAAGAGGTGATCCTCATAGAGTATATCAAATATGCAGAAAAAGGATAAAGAAGGGAGAAGAAACACTCAGAAATTCGCACTCTAGGAAACAATTTGTGTGTGTTTCTTTTATAGCTCATTGGTGTATAGTCTCCTTTCATAGATAGGGCAGGTGGGAGAAGTATCATTTCAGAAACTTTTAAAGGACAGGGTTGAGGACATCCCTAGTACTTTGTAGAGTGCTTATCGAGCAGGAACACTGGGTTTGGCCCCCAGCATTGTGAAATAAACAAAAAAACAATCTAGAATAGGAGTCAGAATGCTTGGATCTAGTTCCAGAATTGTTGCAAAGAAAAATTTTTTTTAATTTTAGATTTTTCTTGTAGAAAATATTGAGGAGCTAAAGTATTTATACTTTAATAAGGCAATGTATGAGAAAGGTTTTGACAATTATGTGTTCTTTGAAACCATAGGTAGAGTTTGTAATGGAACTTGGTATACATTCCTGTGTACTGTCAGAAAGCTACCTATTATTTCTTCTTCAAACTAGTGATAGAAAAACTAGGATACCAGCTCTAAAATTGAGACCTATAATGAAACTGACTTGTGATCCTAATTTATACTGAAATATAATATTTATACTGAGGTTGGGACCAGCTGGCATCAGGTACCAACCCCAGGGCAACACATTTCAAGCATAATTGTCATACGTTTGATCAGCTGAAAGTGGGATTTTAGTTGGTGTGGGTTTTTGAGTTACCTTTCTTGGTGAGTAGAAATACATAATAGATCCTAGGAGGTCCGTGTTTTGCTCTGTCGAATTTGAGTTGTGGCTGTTTTGAAGTTGCCTGTTTCACACTTGAAAAGTTTTCTAGCTTAATTTTTTTCTGTTTTTTATTCCTCATCTTGTAGACCCCTTCCAGTGCCAAAACTGCCACCTGGACAACGAGGTGAGAGTGAGGAGGACACAGAGTATATGACTCCTTCTTCTAGACCCATAGGGCTTCAAAAGCCAGAGCTGAAACGGCCTTCAGAGACAACCCAGAGTTCACGGTAGGTTCACACCAGCCTTGCTTGAGGCCAGATACCTTCCTGGATGTTCAGTTGATAGCCGTCACCAGCTTGGCTTGCTACTTGCACACACAATTGTCTAGCCAGAATTAAAGTAGAAAGATAGGTCTAGCCCCTAATGTTTAAGTCTCTTGTAGTTGTAAGAAATTTTGCTCATGTTTTCTTACTATCACAGTGACCATCAGAATACACACATCTGTAACTTGTCACAGAGGCAATCTTAAAACATTTATTGGTGGTAGTGGCCCAAGAAGCAGGTGTTCCTGAGAGAATCAAGGTCTAGCATAGTTCTAAGTTGTAGTAAGTTCACAGGTGACAGATTTCTGTTTCTGAAGATCGTTGTGCTGCTTTCTTTCCGGTTCAGAGCGGGTGATTGTGACCAGCAGATTGATAGTTGCACATATGAAGCAATGTATAATATTCAGTCCCAGGCACCATCTGTCACTGAGAACAGCACCTTTGGTGAGTAGCCCTCTCTGCTCTGTAAAAAATTGTTGATGTGCCATAGGAATAAGCCTATAGTATTTGGCTACTGAGATAGTTTGACCAAAGGAGAGAATTGATGTCAGTAATCTTTGATAAAATATCTTTGATTCGTAGGCAAGATGAATCAAGATGAATCCCACCTCACTCACCCCCCCTTTATTTCCTCTTCATACAACTAGTTCCTTTTGTGTTTTTGTCCTCCTGGCCTGGACACATTTGTGTTACACGGCCTGGATGTGCATTTCCGGCAGCTCTCTTTCATTCCTGTTGCATTGATGAAATTCTTGCGTGTGGGGGTGGTGCATACTCAATTCCCATGATGACAAGCTTCCTGAGTTGAAAGTTCAAGGAGCCCACACACACAGGGCCCCTTGCCTGCTCTCCTGAGGTGAAACATAGAAGTACTGTCAAATGGCACTTGAGTCTTTGCCGTGGAGAGGTGGCTATTAACCTTGGCAAGAATAACCTCTGACACATTCCACAACAGAGCTGCAGGTTTGCAGATATTATTTTCTGTTTCTTGTATTTCTACCCACAAGGCCTCACATGGTGTTTGGCCTCCAGTAGACATTGAGTAACTGTAGACTGGAGTGCACGGCTGTCCATGTGTACAGGTGGAGGGACTGTGAGGGCGGTAGGAGACCGGGTATGTCAGGAGAAGGTCACGTGCCTCCATTTCTCCAGGTGAAGGCAGCTTGGCTGCAGCCCACACAAACACTGGCCCTGAGGAATCAGAAAATGACGATGACGGCTATGATGTCCCTAAGCCACCAGTACCGGCTGTCCTCGCCCGCCGAACTCTCTCAGACATCTCCAACGCCAGCTCTTCCTTCGGCTGGTTGTCTCTGGATGGTGATCCTTCAGCAAGTGAGTCTGGGGCTGCGCTGCACTTGACCCAAATGCTGTGTGACCCTGATTTGTACTGAACAAGGTGGTGTCCCTGGCGGCATGAGTCAGCTAGGTTGGAGTAGGAGACCAGCTGTGTCTCAGTGGGAGGAGAGCAGCTCCTCGGGTCCAGAGGATGAGATCAAACTGTTCAGACTCTGCAGACTTACAATGCTAGGGAGACAGGGTTTGGAGGTCTGCTGAGTACGCTTAAGGCACATAATTAAGTGGACAGCCTAGACCTTGGGCTCTTCTCTTCTGGACTCTGTCCCTCTGGAAAGGAGGCAGGCTGTCCTGGGATGCACGTGGAGTGGGCCTGGACTGCTGGGGGCTGCCTTTCGTGCACCTTTGGCTGCCTGGTAGAACAACAGGCAGGATTGCTGTCCCTTTGGAAATTAGAGACAGCCCTTAGGACAGCTGGTGGGAAGGCTGCAGCATCGATTGCCCAGACAGGCAGTGATCTGCACCCATCCTGTGTTGGTGCTTCTGCATTACAGCTTAGGCTTTTTTTTGGCTCCTTACTTGTAGGAGTTTAGTATCTTCTGATCCCCTCAAAATTTAAAAAAAAAAAATCAGATGATTATGTGTAAGAAAAATTGTCACTCAGTATAAAAGATGATGCAGATGTTACATGTTTATCATAGCAACAATGACTGTAAATAGAACGGGTGTGTGGTATATTTAGAAGGTGGCTCCTACTGTGATAAGGAGAAAGCTAGATCCAAAAGCCCTTGAACCTCTAAAACCCAGCCTTGTGACAGAAGAGCACTGGCCCCCAATTGACAGGTAATCATGTGTTGATATTAACACATTGTTACTACTTTTATTTGTGCCACTAAATGAAGATTTCTCCCGATATTTTCTTTGCTATTTCTTCTAGATTTTACTGAGGGTTCTCAAGTTCCTGAGCGGCCCCCAAAACCATTCCCTCGGAGAATCAACTCTGAACGGAAAGCAGGTAGCTGTCAGCAAGGTGCTGGTGCTGCCGGGGCCACCCCTGCCGCCACCCCATCACCGCAGCTCTCCAGTGAGATTGAGAACCTCATGAGCCAGGGCTACTCCTACCAGGACATTCAGAAAGCTTTGGTCATTGCCCACAACAACATCGAAATGGCCAAAAACATTCTCCGAGAGTTTGTTACTATTTCATCCCCTGCTCATGTGGCCACCTAGCACAGCCCTCCCTGCTATAGCTACCAAGATCCAAGAGCTGGGCTCTTGAGGTGCACCTAGGAGGGCTGAAGCTCCTTTGGGGACTTCACAGTGAGGTCCTGCCCTCTCTGTGAGTATCACACCGTGGTCCCAAGATTTCAAAGCAGCAGAATGAAAATGGAGCAGCTCATGTGTTTTATTATTGTATTGTTCTTGAAGGTGTCTTTCAGTCCCCGCTTGGAGAGAGTATGGATTTTTATTACATGGTAGCCTTCTTGGGGAACAGTCCAGAAAGCAGTAGAATAAGTATTGTGCTGTAAACCCTAATTGAGGACTTAAGACTTTCCTTGGTTAAGGATGTGTTCATGTGTGTCTGTCTGTCTGTGGTTGTGTGTCCTGTGATGATATGATTATCCTGCTGTGTGTGTTAATTCCAAGTGGGGAATTAGCACAAGAGGTTCAGGAAGGAATCTTTTAAAGACTTCCATCTACTGTGGTATTCCACCCGACCCCAGTGTGTATTACAAGTTCAGCACTCCCCTTTGGCTTAGGTTGTCGTGTGCATAGCTAAAGTGTTATATTTTTTAGGACACTCCCTGTCCTTTACCCTCTCAGCCCACCTTCAGTGTTCTGTCGTTGGCAGTGGGCTTGCTGTGACCAGCCTTCCTGAGGCCACGCCCTTGTGGGATGTTCGGTATTGTGTGTGATGGTATAGGTTTGTTTGGTAGAGATAGGTAAGAGAGAAAGTACTGTTGCTGTGTTACTGTAGTCAGTTTGCAACTAGCAGCTAACACTGGTCACTCCAAAGTGTTGTTTCTAAAGGAACATTGAATTTGTTAAAATAAGATATTTGAAGTATCCTAATTATATAATGACTGATTTGTGATAGAGGCCTTCAAATACATTCCATGTCCTCCCCAGTAATTACTCTGTGGGAGTCCGTTGCCTTGATGCCAGGCATGTGGTCTGGTATAGGTCATGAGTCTTTCTACTTAACGGGAAGAGATGAGCGTGTTTCTAGGATTACTTTCTGGCCCAAACACCATGAAGCTTTTAGGAAATTTCATTTTTTATCTGTTCAGTTTTTCTTTCCAGTTAATCAGCTTCAGCTTCTATGGATATCTCATTTTGAACGTGAGCCAGATTAGATTTTTTCAGAAATGACTTTTTATTTGGCCTTTAAAAAATGGGTTTATCACTGGTGGTAGCACAGCATTTTGCTGATTATCAGCACCTTTTCTATATTGGTGCCACCCAGTGACTTGGTTTTCTCTTGTGCCTAGGGCTTGGGGCATGGAATGTGGCTTTGCTCCATTTCTTGCCCCTTTCTCTTCCCTCCACGTTACATGTACACTGTGTTTTTACTCTAGTCAAAGACAGTATGGAAAAAGGCTGGCAGTTTTATGGAATTGCAAGTTCACGAAGAAGATTCAGAGTTCAGTTGGGAGACCCACTTGTGAAGTCTGCGCAGCGGCCCCTAGAGTTGAGTTTGTTCTCTGGAGTCTTTTACTGATTCCCTAGCAGTGTTTGCTCCTTCCCCTTGCCAGAAGCAAGCCTGCGTGTCTGAGTACGTTCCTCAAGACCTGGTCTAGACAAAAATGACCCTCCTAAAGCCAGCTTTCTTTCCAGCTTTCCGAGTCTTCTCATAGTATCCATCTGCTCCACAGTCTTTGTGTTTCATCCTCTTGGCTCAAGCTATTTATATTCCCAAAGCAGACAGTACGGGGCCTTGTGATGACTTGCTGTAGTTCCCTAGTTGTCATCTCCTGTCTCTCCTGGAGGGGAGGAAACAGTGGAGCCCCCAGTGGGTACAGGAGGTACTGCACCAGGATGGAGGGAGGCGGGGAAAGTGGCAGTGAGTAAGAAACAGTAGCCTAACATTCACTTCTAAAAGCTGGTAGCGTTTAGTTTTGCATTTTGCTTAAATACTAAAAGCCTAGACAAGGAACTAGGAAAGGAAAAATGCCTGGGCTATACAGATTATAATATTTTTCTCTAGATATTACCTAGTAGTTTGAAGATCTGTCAAGAAAATAAAGCTCTGGCTGCATCTCTTCTGCCTGTTCAGTGCATTCCCATCCTCCATGAGATTATTGTCCATACTGACCAGGCTGAAGGTCTTTCCTTCCTCTCCTGAATACCTGTGTGGCTCTTCAGTCAGGCCTGACACTGACAGTCCAGGCCTCTGTGATGAACATGTGCACACTCATGGCCTTGGGTAGTGGTTTGTCAGGTGAATATCTGCAGGTGTTGAAGATTTTGGACCATTATATCGTGCTCATTCCTCTGACTGGTGCGTGGAGAACATGCCAGGGTCTGGGCTGGAAATTGAGAACCTTAGGAATGTTGTCACACAAGTCTTGTTTAGAGGATAGTCTCAAAATGTGACTTCCTTTTGTTTTCCTTTAAGGCATCTACTCTTTATCCTCCATTTGTATTCTGATTTGGTGGGGGCAGAGGTCACTGGGGATTGAGCCCAGGGCCTTTGCATTGAGCTATGTTCCTAGCCCCTTTTTAAATTTTGGGATAAAGTCTTATTGAGTTGTGCAGGCTGCCTTGAACTCGCAGTCATCCTGCCTCATCCTCCTAGAATGCTAAAATGATGGGATTACAGGTGTGTGGTGCTGTGCGAGGCTTATATTCCAATTTTTAATTCTTTGGCTTTTGCTCTGAGTGTAACTACAATTACTATTGATAAACAGGCTTTGAGTTTGTTATTTTTGGCAAACCCAGTTTTTTTTTGTTTGTTTGTTTGTTTGGGTTTTTTTGGTGCCTGGATCGAATTTGGGACCTTGTGCGTGCCGGCAGGCACAGTACTGCAGAGCTGTATCCCTGGCCAGATCCAGTCCTTTTTCCTCCTCTTAATTACAAATGGTTGATATGTTCAAGAAAACCATTTTAATGTTTCTTTTTCTAAAGACTCATTATTACCCCAACTTCCCGTTTTCTCTATGTCTTTTGTGTGCTGCTTTGCATAGCCTCCTCATTGCTAGCTGACTATCCTGCAGCCATCAGGACTGCACTTCTTCAGCTGCTCTTTCCACACTCTTGCTCAAGTCAGAAGTTCTCAGAGTAGAAGGCCTGTGAGGTCTGTAATATATCTCCCCTTAGCTAAGTGGTAAACTGGGCAGCTCGCCATCTCAGCATTTATCCATTAATATTTATTTAAACACAGGAGTGATCTCTAGCTGGGGTTAGCCATTCTCTTCCACCAGCCCTCTCTTTCCCCAGCCCCACCTTACATAGTCTGCCATAGTCTTCCATTTTCTTCTCCTTACCTGCCTCATTACCAGGGCTCAAGATGTGGGACAGTACTCTTAACAGCATTGAGCAGTTTTTTTGGAGTTGAAGATTGGGGGCACCGAGCGTGGTGGTGCACACCTGTAATCCCAGCACTGGGGAGGCTGAGGCAGGAGAATCATTGCAAGTTCAAGATCAGCCTGTGCTACAAAGTGAGCTCAAGGCAAGCCTGAACTGCATAGTGAAACCCTGTCTCAAAAAGACAAAAATAAATAAATAAAATAAAATGAAATAAAATAAAATAAAATTTGAGGAACCAGGCTTGGTTTTGTACACCTGTAATCCCAGCACTTGGGAGGCTGAGGCAGGAGGATTGCCATGAGTTTGAGTCCAGCCTAGTCTACATAAGCGAGTTCAAGGCTGGCCTGCACTACTTAGCGAAACACTGTCTCAAACCATCCGCTAAAGAAAAATTGGGTGTGGAGAAGAATTGTTATTCAAACTTAAAATTCTATATATATATATATGTGTGTATATATATATATATATAAATAATTTCCTGTGTAGGAAAGTTTTATGGTGGAAGCAGCAGGCTTACAAATCAGTTTTTACAATACAACTTGCTTGCAAACTAAGGACTAGCTACCTATTCCCTATAAGGTACAGTTAACAAAATCTAGGCTTTTGTGGTAAGTTGCCAGCAGTGTCTTAGTGCAGAATATTCTCCTACCTCACATCATGAAAGTCAAAAGGCTACTGACCGCCCCAATCTTCCTTTCTTGCTTGTTGGCCTTTTTGACTATGAATGACCGCTGTCTACCAAGTAACTCTTCTGACCGTTGGCCTAGCCATAGCAGTTTGATTGCTCTTCATTTAGCAGATGTTTGAATACCATGTGCCAGAATATTAGCTATATGCCCCTCGTGCTACTGCAGGGGATTGTATTTGACCATAAAATAGTTTTTCCCGATAAGATTGTACAATATTTACAGCATTTTGTATGACCTGTTTGTCCTAGAGCTGTCTTGCTAAAAATTGCTCTAAGACTCTCCCATTAAGCCCTGCTGTCGTCATTATCTTCTTCCTCTTCTTCTTCTTCTTCTTCCTCCTTTTTTTGCAGGGGGGGTGGGCAGGGTCTTGCTATGTCATTCAGGCTGGCCTTGAACTCACTATGCAGCCCAGGCTGGTCTCAAACTGGTGGCGATCCTCCTGCCTCAGCCTCCCAAGTGCTGGGATCACAGGCATGTGTGCCACCATGCCCCGCCTAACCTTGTTGTCTTCTACAGCTTTGATAATGTCTGGGAGATTCCTTGCTCTTAAGTTTCATAGACACGCACCTTAAGTATTTCAGTGGGATTTGATTAATGGGTTGAGAGATATTTGGGGTCACAGTTGCACAATTGGGCATTAAAAATATTAAGCAAAGCATCTGGCTGGCTGCAGTCTGCTTTTCAATCTAATATCTCCCCTTTTTGATACAGTGCCTTCCTTGGTCTTATTTATCTGCTTGTGTTCCTAACATCCCATTAGGAAGGGTAGGGTTTGTTTTGTTTTTCACTCTCTGGTCTTTCCTCCCAAAGTGGGGAGCTCAGAGATGCCAGAGTTTCCTGTCAACACATCATCATTCTCCTAGACCTTAAAGCTAAAGCTTCGAAGTCCAGTGGAGGTATTTTTAACTCTGTACAGCATTAATTACTAGTACTACTTTGATCTCAGTCTAAACGAGCACCCGCCCCCACGTGCCCTGTTTCCCCTACCCCCTGCAGCCAAAGTACTGGTTGTTGAACCCAGGGCCTTAGCACCAAGCTACATCTCCATCCTTTTGCAATAGAGACTGGGTCTTGCTAAATACGAGGCTGGGCTCAAACTTGCAATCTTCTTGCACCTCACTCTTAGAGTGCTGGGATTACAGGCATGTACCACCATGCCAAGCTTTTAGCTCTCTTTCCTTGGAAATACACATAGCCATTTAATGCGTGGAGAAGGGCTAGTGGTGAAAAGATCAGGCCTGAAGGTGTTTTATGACTGCAGAAAAGTATTAGGGCTGGCACTATAATAGACAGAAGGAGCAGAAGGCAGGACTGGACAGGGGAAGATTCCAGACCATAATGCAGATCTAACACCATTTCTTTCTTTTTCAATATCTGAGACAAGGTCTCGCTATGTAATCTTGCCTGGTCTTGAACTCATGGTGGATCTTCCTGTGCTGCTGCCTCTGCCTCTCAGGTGCTGGGATTACAAGCATGCACCACCACGCCTGGCTGTAACACCATTTCCATATTATACAGTGACGACACCCTCCTGGCCATCACCAAGGGTCCTCCTCACAAGTTACAGTTACTGTTCTTTTGCTTTTCTCTGGCCTTAGTAGGAAATGAGCTTGGGTTCTTGGGCACTGCACCAGGCCTGAATCTGTCCTTAGGGGGCGCTCTCTGTCTGGTTCTGGCACTGGCATCTGCTCCCATAGCCCCCTGGTGGACTCTCTTGGATCATCTCCCTTGTTATAACCTTAAATACCTTTTGCTTGATATACAATCTGGTGTCTGTAGATGGACTCAACTTGCAGCTGCCTTTTCCGCATTTCTTGAATCATTTGCTTGTAGTTTCTTTCTTCAGGGGCCACATTTTTTCCTCAATCAAGATTTTATTTTTAACTCTCCTAGTTAGGGCTCCTTTGGATATAAGAAATATCAAGCTGAACAAAAGAGGGAGTCTTTATAAGGGGACAGGGTCTTTCATGGAACCCAGGGTAGGAAGAAGTACAGTTTATTTTTTTGCAGGGTGCTGAGACTATCAAACTTTGCACTTAAGTCTTTCCTCCTGCTTCATTTTCTGTTCACATGCATGGTCCCCACATAGTTGCGCCAGCTGTCAAGTTCACACAACCGTCCAAATCTAGGGACCATCACACACAGATCCCGGTTCCTCTTAGTTTATATTTTTAAGAATTTATACACTCAGTCCACACATTGATCAGAATCCCTCCCAGGCCACTTGGTTTCTCAGGGAAGGCAAGGAAGAGTGGCAGATCGGGGAGCCCAGCACAGTCCTTTAGCTGGGAGTTGGGAGCTCTTAGAGAAGAGACTACAGACTCCAAAGACCCTCTAAGAGGACGTGGGCCCTAGGAGAAAGCTGCTGCTGCTCCACCTGTTTGAGACTGAAAAGGCAGGCATGTGAATATGCCTGGGTCATCAAGGAAATCCTTAGGTTTAATGTCTTCTGGTTACTGCCTTTGAGTCGTCTTTCTTCCCCCCTAGTGAATCTTGGCATCCAAGATTTTTCTGCTCCTCCTTGAATCTTATCCCAGGTGACATTTCTTAGTCTCCATTTAGCCTCAGGTCTTCAGCCTTCTTTCCTTTCTTTTAGAGAGATCACAGATTGCAGTGTAGCCACTGCCCTTGGGCTTCTGCACTCTCTTTAGGTTTTAGTGCTGAGTATCCATCTGCCCTGTGTTCTCCTGGCCTGTCTCTTCCAGCCCTCATTACCCGTCTCATTAGTTCTCCTGGGCATGGGAGCTCTGCAGTAGTGTCCTTAAGCGTGCCTGCCCAGGCACCTCGGGAACTGCTTCCGCGAGCATATAAGAATAGGTAAGAGTTAGGACAGCTGCCAGGATGTAAACTAAAGAGTCTAGTATAGAAAAGAGCTTTTACTGCACATCTTCCCATTTCAGTCTCCCGATTAGCTGGGACCACAGATGCATGCTGTCACACCCAGCATTACTGCACACACATCTTCACACAGGCTACCTGCATCTTGTCCATCTCCTTTCGTTTCAGCCCTCTATTAGAGCCTTTTTTTTTCTTTTTTTTTTAAGCTATGCTGCTGCTTCCCTGGGTCTTTGGATCTTACTTATTCTGTCCTAGGCCTGTCCTGAGTTGTAAGGCATTTCATACTGCCTTGCTTATAACTTTTTAAAAACTACTAGTCATTTGATAAAACACAGAAGTAACCTAAAAATCCAAAGGTACACATCGAGGCACATAGGAAGGGCGAAGCATCAGATTTTCCCTTTGATGGTCTAGTGTAGGCTCCTGAGTGAAGGAGTAGAGGGGCAGTAGTGCCATGTGCCTTCACAGTGTCCCAGGAAATCTGCACTGGCTGTAGAGGGACTTGCCAGTATTTCTTGGTTCCCGAAAGTAGTGCAAGAATAAGAGATGGGGAAATAGGGAAAGGAGCACAAGCTCTGCACATATGTTCCAGGTCAGATGGAAGTTGCCATGTGGAAGGGCCAGCTGTTGACTAACAGAATAGCAGCTGCTTGGAGATCTTGCTGCCCTTTCCTTAGTATAGTGCTTGAAAAAAAATGTGGCTGACCCCTCCCTTTGTTTGTACAAAGCTAAGGCTGAAAGCCAACCTTACATCTACTGACCTGGCAGCTGAAAAGATCAGCAAAGTTCTGATCACCTGATCCCGTATGCCTGATTCAGTCTCAAAGATGAATGTGAGCGATGGCCCTCCACATCGCCTGGCCCATGGTTTCCTTCCACCCAGAGAACAGAGACCACAGGGCTGCATGCAGTGTAGCTCCTCAGGCCTTGTGCTGCTTCCCTGTTCAGGCCCTGAGCGGAGGTGTTCTGGGGGCCTGTATGTTGCTTTCTTCCTCCCTCCCTCCCTCTAAATCCATGTTAGGTGAGGGTAGCTGTGCTTGTGGCTATCTTGAAATTGAAGAGGCAGAGAACTACTGAGGCATCATAGAGCATGTGCTCTCTTCCATGGCCTCTGTAATGAGTGAGCCTGCACAGTGCCCGGGAGAGCAGATGCCTCCTGACCTACCCTGCTTGGCACGATTTGAGTGTCTTGGCCTTGAATGAAAAGCCGAAGTTCCTGCTGAAATGTGGTAGGGCCTGGCAGCTCCGAGGTACCTCCTACATCTGCCTTCTGGCTGTTGTGACTTGGCGCTTTTAACCTTATATATCTTTCTTCCTTTATTCAAAACAAAACAATTTTTAGCACACTGAAAGAAAAAAAAAGCCAAATGTTTTGTGCCTTTCTAAGGCAGCACTGTATCCCAGGCTGCATTTTAGGACTTAATATGGAAACACCAGAGTCTGAGCTTCTCTACCTTGAGTATCCTAACGCTAGAGTCTTGGGGGACAGGAAGGAGGAATCCTCCTGAAGATGAGAGGTCGCATATGGGTACAGTGTGTGTCTGTGGTCTCTTTCCCCAATACTCTGGGATCATCTGGTTGGTTCCATTCAGGAGCTTAATTGTCAGATTGGATATTTTGTCCCTCGTAGGAGACAGAATGTCCCACAATTTCCAGGTATACCAACCCCACCCCCAGTCATTTTAATAACTGATGCTGGAGAAGCGAAGGGTGTGGTCTGCCTCCAAGAAAGGGTATTTCTATTGTCTTCTTTTTGCTGGATCCTGAGCCAGCACAGACCTGTGTCTCTCAAGAGTTGCTCTCCTTTCAGTTGAAAGCCTCAAACTTAAAGCATTAAGCAGCCGATACTCTCTACAGTGTCTCATTTTCCCTGGGCAGGGGCAACAAGGAACACACACCAGAAGCCTGTAGGTATTGTGACTGTAATAGGTTTCAGGGGAAAAAAAATGTCTTCAGTGCAGTGACATTTTACTTATCTCTTATCCCTCAGTTCCTCCTTGCTTTTAACTAATAGTTGGGAGACAGAAACAGTTCTTTTTATGGTCCTCCTTATTCAAGATTTTGAAATTCTTGGCCTGGGTGGGGCTGGGGAGAACTTGATGTTTTCTCTAGAAGGAAGAATCCCAATTTGTATATCAGTGTTAAAAAGAAAACAAAGCAGACACTTAGATGAGATTTTTCATGGACTATTTTAAAAATGTGTCATTAATTTAAAAAATTTATATTAGCAGTATTTAATCCTTCTCACCTGTAAAGAATAAGAAAAACAGAAGGTAAATATTCTTACAGAGAATAGCAGAGCTTTAAGATTCATTTTCAAGTCCATTTTGTTTTGCCAATGTATTAATGTTAGACGTCTGTTATACTAATGTTATTTATTAATTTTTTTCATTTCCATACACAGTTAACTAAAGAGCTTTTTTCAAGCACCCATGTCTGTAAAAAAATATTTTTAAATAAAGTTTCTTTTATCGTAGCCAACTTGAATTCTTGCTTGTTTGGGCTAGGAGGTGGCACTGCACAGGTTAGCTCTGGGACCAGTTGCCAGGGCAGGAACTACCCTGTCATTACTGTCACAAGGCAGCACTCAGCAACAGAAGCATAGGAAGGTGCCACAGGCGCTCCGAGAGGCTGAGAAACAGGGGAACTGTCCCTTCTGGTAGAGCTGGACCCTTTTGCTCAGGAACGGAACCCAGGTCCCTGCAGCTGACTGTGGTGGATTCTCCATTCCTTTTGATGCAGCTGCTAGTCAGAGGCCCCAGGCACCATGGTATCCATGATGATCGGAAGCAGTTTGAGATTCTTGGCACAACTAAGCTTTATTTTTCTTATATATATAAAAGGAAACTTTGCAAATTTACACACAAAACCATATACACATATATATACACATACACACGAGTGGGCACACACAGACATGCCCCAAAGCTCTGGCCCAGCTCCCCTCCCTTTTTTTTTTTTCGTCTTTTTGAGAGGGGGGTCTCGCATGCAGTTCAGGCTGACCTTGAGCTCACTTTGTAGCCCAGGCTGGCCTCGAACTTGCAACGATCCTCCTGCCTCAGCCTCCCAAGTGCTGGGATTACAGGCGTGCGGCACCACGCCCGGCTGCCCTTTTTTCTTTTTCTGTTTTTTTTTTGTCTTTTTGAGACAGGGTCTCACTATTTAGTTCAGGCTGGCCTTAAGCTCACTTGGTGGCCCAGGCTGGTCTTGAACTTGCAGTGATCCTCCTGCCTTAGCCTCCTGAGTGCTGGGATTACAGGCGTGTGCCACCACGCCCAGCAAGGCCCCCATTTTTCATCCCTAGGTACCCTTCTCTTTCTAGGGTCTGGGTTGGTAGCTCACTGTGTAGAAGTTTGGTGTGATATTATAGTCCTTAACTCACGAAGGACAATGGATTTCTTCATTGTTTCCAGCTTCCTGAGCTCTCCCAGTTCCCCTCTTGTCTCATATGCTCCCTCTGAAAGAGTGTGGAAGCTGAGAATGCAGCAGCTGCAGGCTCAGTGGCCTCCACGCAGAAACGGCCCAGCTTCCTCAGTGGAGGGACAGATCTTTGAAGGAATGATACCAGGACGTGGCTTCCGCCCCAAGAAAAAAAATCACAAAGTGACCCCAAAGGCTGGGCGTGGCAGCGCATGCCTCTAAACCCAGCACTTGGGTGCCTGGGGCAGGAGGATTCGAAGATTTCAAGGCCAGCCTGGGGCTAGTGAGACCCTGTCTCAAAGAAAGGCAGCTCCAAAGCGGTGTGAGCAGAAAGACGTCTGGACTCTGCAGCTGATTCTGGATTCGGCTGGGTATTGTCCAGAGCCAGGACATGCGACACCTTGACAACAAATGTGCCTGGGCCCTACTGCATCCTCACACCGGTACAGCTGAGTCACTGAAACCAGTCTAAGGGGCCACTGCTCTCCACTGCTGCTAGAAGACAGTTCTGCCGTCATACGGTCGTAAGAGCGTTTCTGGAAGAGACACTCTTCCCCGCCCTGGGGAGACTGGGGCCCCTTCTTGGCATGAGCATCATTTGAGTGGCCAAGTCTCTGAGGACGGATGTGGTCCTAGCCCACTGGGCCTCTGGAACTGGTGTGCATGGGAGGTGGAGCAGGGGTCTTCTCTATAGTCCCTCGGTGGCTCTGGCTGGGGAGAAGAGTGAGCAGGGAGCCGCAAACACTCCAGGCCAGGTGGGAGCTGAGTGGGATGCAGCGGCTAACGCCTCAGATCGATGTATTTCTCTCCCTAAAAAGCGGCAGAGGGGAGGAGTGAGGGGAGCAGGTTAGTTCAGGGTGTGAGCACTGAGGGCCGACTGAAGCGGAAGCTGATGGGCTTGGTGCGGCAGCCTGGAGGGAAGAAGCAGGGGCGGGTGTGGGGGCCAGAGGAGGATGGGCGGCCCCAACTCGGGCAGCCCCCCACTCGGCCTGGGTGCTGGGGAGATGGAAGCCACACTTCAGGGCTGTTTAGAGAAAGATGACAGTAATGGGACCGGGGCTTTGCTCTGTCTTCCTCTAGGGTCTCTGCCCCTCACCCTGCTGTCATATGTGAGCAGTGTTAAGACGAGAGGGGCCGGCACCCCTAACCAAGGAAGAGGAAGGCAGGAAGTTAGTGTTCAGGGAATGAGCACCATTCGCCCGTCGCCCCGTCCCTGGAGAGGGGTCAGGCACTGGCCACAAGACCTGCCTCCTACCTGGTCTCCTGGAGCCCTCTTGTCACCGGTGCTGCCCTGTAGGAGGCCCATCTCTTCTGGGAGCTTATCTGACTTAACTTCAACTACAAAGTCACTCTTACGAGACGGGGGCAGCGTGCTGGGAGGAGGGAGGAAGAGGTTGGCGACCGGGGGAGGGAAGGAGAGGGCCCATTGGGAAGGGTGCTGCGTGGACGACACTCTGGTACTTTGGGGCCACCTCAGGGAGGGAAGCAGATGATTTTTGGAGGTGTGATTGATGGCAGCTGGGTAGCAGGTAGTGAAGCAGGGATCGCCCCAACCCAGGGTCCCTCTGCTGCTCCTCCAGGGTGAGGGGCACTGGGGCAGACTGGGCAATGTCCCCTAGGAGGCAGCAAGCCGGGCAGCAGGGAATAAATGACAGTAGGCTGTAGGCGCTCGGCCCATGCTTACATCTCCTGTTTGCCTGACCGCCCACAGGGCAGCTTGCCCTTCTTGTAGAAGAAATAGAGGACAGCGCCCAGCACAGCCAGGACCAGGATGCACACGATCACAGCCACAATGACCACGCCCTTGCTCTCTGGCTCCGGCAGCTTTCTCTCTGGCACAAGGATGCTTGGAGTCACTGCCTGCCCCGGGGGCGGGTGGGCGGCCACACTGCCATCACAGCCCCACTCAGCCCAGGATGATAGCGATGAGCCCGACTCACCTCTCAGCAAGGCACCCTTTGGGGGGATGGGGCAGAAAGGGGGCCCGGCCCTGTTCTCTTGCCAGGCTTACCTGGGGAGGTGCTGTTGGCTCTGGCATGAGGACTGACTGTGGAGGTGCTGGGGCCAGCGGCTGTGCTGGAGTCTGGTGTGAGGGTGGTTAAGCCGACTGGGAGGTAGAGGGGAGTTAGGAGAAGCTCACGTTAACGCCCGCGCCTGGGCGTGCCCTGCCATCCTCTGCAGGGAGGCGGCCCTCACCCCGAGTCAGGAAGATGGTGGTGGTGTTTCTGCCCAGGGAGTTGGAGGCGGTGCATTGTACGCCTGTCTCCAGCAGCTCTGGGGTCACAAGGACAGTCAGGGTGCTCAGTACCCTCTGTGGGTCTTGCTCTTGTTCACTTGCCTACGAGGGAGGAGAGAGCTCAGGAGGATCGGAGTGGGGCGGATCGCCAGTGTTCACCATGCAAAGCCTGGACAGGGGTTAATCAGAGCCAGGCCTGCTCACCGTGCCATTGACGTTCCAGGAGATGGTGGGCTGAGGGTGCCCTGATGCCTCACAGGAAAGATTCTGCATTGTGTCCTCTTTCACCCACACTCTCCTCTCCTTCAACACCATCCAGGGGGGCCCTTGGGTAGGTTGGGAAAAGTGAGGGAACATACTAGGTTAGCCAGCCTCCTCCCCTTACGAGGAGTTCCCTTATGACGAGTTCCCAGGCAATAGGTGGCTTTTTGGGCTCAAAGAGCTCAAAACCACCCAACTTGGGGTGACTTGGTCTCTGCCCTGAGGGCCTCACCAAAAATGGCCACGTTGACCAGCTGTGTGCGGTTCAGGCCGGGTATACTGGGCACAGATGCCACGCAGCGGTAGCCACCCGCTGCCTCCCGTTTCAGGCTGGGTAACTGAAGCGTAGACCCCTCTTCCAGCACCTGGCCTGTCTAGGGGGAGAGGCAGGTCAGAGAGTCGGGGAAGAAGCAAGTTGTTGACACCCGCAGTCGTAGACTCCCCTGGGTACCTTTTCTCTCAGCCACTGGAAATTGAGGGCCTGGTTACTCTCCGCCGTACAGTTCAGTGTGAGGCTGCCACCTTCCTGGCCCTCGGGGGCTGCGGGGCTCACTCGAACATCCGACACATCTGGGGGCACAGCAGTAATGTCAGCCTGGGCAGGGCAGGGCCTGTTCTGTCTTGACCCAGCCAGGTACCCCCATCCATCCTGGGCCCCCAGCCCCTCACAGTTCACCAGAAGATTCTGGGGGTCACTTGATAGTGATGTTGTGTCTTCCAAGTCCAGGCCCTGACACTGGTAGACCCCGCTGTGCTGCTTCTGGGCAGGCTCCAAGACCAGGATGCCATTGTCAAGGGTTTCCAGTTCCTCCATCTCCCCAGTGCTGGGGTTCTGGGAGAGGATGCAGGGGTGAGCAGAGCGCCCTCCAGCCACTCCCCTCCCTCCCCACCTGCACTATCTGCGCACAACCCAGAGGCCTCCACACCTTCTTGCTGATGGTGAAGTGGGGCGCAGGGTTGCCATCCGTCAGACACTTGATTTCCACACGGTCGCCTTCCTTCAGCGTTCCCACAGGCTCCACTTCCAACCACAACCTTTCTGCGGGGTCTGCATGCACAAAGGAGGTTGTTCTTGGCCCGGGACATAGCCTGAGGCTGGATGGGCAGAGGCCCACCCCAGCAAGCAGAGGGCTAGGTCAGTACTCACAGAAAACAGGGACAGTGACTTCCCTAGATTCTTTCATGTGGTTCCCACTGGGCAGCCGGTAGCTGAGCTCACAGTAAAACTGGGCATCCTTGTCTTCCTTAACCAGCTGGGCCTTCAGGACGCTCTCCAAGGTGTACAAGCCGCTTGACTCCACAATCTGTGATGACTGAATGTGGATGCCTGGACAGGGAGGGAAGGAGCCAGGCTTAGCCTCAGCCCCATGCTATGGTCTCCAGGAAGGTTGGCAGGAGGCCATCTCAGGACCCCTGTCCTTTAGACAGGTGTGAAAGAGCACACCTGTAACCCCAGCACTCTAGGAGGCTGAGACAGAAGGACTGCATGTTAAAGCCCAGTCTGGACAACTTAGTGGCTTAGCAAAAACCCTGTCTCAAAATAAAAATGAAAAAGGGCTGGGGATGAATGTAGCTCAATGTGAAGACCCGGGGTTCAATCTCCAATACCACGGAAAAAAAAAAAAGAAGGAAAGACCCCTGTTTCTATAGAGGACCAAGGACAAATGCAAGGAGTTGACTCTTGAAGTTAGCTCTTTTACTTGCTGGTATCTACTCTAGACAAATACAGACACACAGCACACATGCAAGAGTGTGGACCAGGAGGGCTGCAGGGATGAATAAAACGAGGGGCTGAGGGGTGGCTCAGGGTAGGGCATATACTTAGCATGTGCAAGACCCTAAGTTTGATCTCCTCGGCCCAAATAGCCAAGGTGAGTAGAAAAATGAGAAGCACTTTAGATGTGAGACACTAGCAGGAAAATGGTGAACTAAACAACATCATAATACACACAGTATACAAAACCGACAGAGCAAGCAGGTACGTTTTCATAGACTGATTTGGAAAGATGACACAAACTGTGTAGCAGTGTACGCCACACACCATCACTGAGGTCAGGGTTTCTCCACCTCAGCACTATTGATGTTCTGGGCCAGAATTAATTCTTTGCGGTGGGGCTGACCTGTGCAATGCAGGGTGTTTAGCTGCATCCCTGGCCTCTACCCACTGGTGCTGGAAGCACCCCCTGGACTTTTGATAACCGAAATATCTCCAGACCACCATGTGTCCCAGTGTCAGGGGCAGTGCAAAATCACCATTGATCTATGCTTCTAGAAATATCTGTATGCCACTCAGGAGGCTGAGATAGGAGGATCACTAGTTTGGGGCAGACTGGGGTATATAGCAAGTTCAAGGCTGGCCTGGACTACAAAGCAAGATCCTGTCTCAAACCACACACACACACACACACACACACACACACACACACGGGTGAGCAGAAAAATGAATTATAGAATAGGAATGGAAAAGTGACAAATTTCACTTTAAAATGTAAATCCTTAAGCACACAGCCCAAAATAACTCAGTTAATTAAGGTCTATACTTTTTCTGCAACAGTTATAACTTGCGTTTTTGCTAATAGAAATAGTGTTTGGATACACTCTTAAAATGTCCTTTGTCTAGTTTTAAGTCCTTTTTGATTTTGTTTTGTTTTTTGAGACAGAATCTTGCTATGTAGTTTAGCATGACCTTGAACTCACTATGTAATCCAGGCTGGGCTCATACTTGAGGTGATCCTCCAGCTTCAGCCTCCCACGTCTGGGATTATAGGTGTGTACCACCATGCCTAGCTCATTGATTTTCAGAAATAAAAAGTTTGGAAAAGTGTAAGAATAACCTCAAGGACATGTACCAACATCCACACATGTACAATTTTAATATCTTCATGTATGCTCTGTGATTTTATGAATTAAATGGATTAAGCACCAAACACATATATGTCCGCATGTGCATGCATGCGCGCGCGCGAGCGCGCGTGCACACACACACACACACACACACAGACATGGATGGTAGCCCATGCTTATACTCCCAGGACAGCGGGAGCCTGAGGCAGCCTGGGTAACTTGGTGATTTAGTAAGGCCCTGTGTGAAAGCCAAAACGGGACTGGGTGGCTGGGCATGGTGGTGCACACCTGTAATCCCAGCACTTGGGAGGCTGAGACAGGAGGATTGTTGTGAGTTCAAGGCCAGCCTGGGCTACAAAGTGAGCTTAAGGTCAGCCTGAACTGCATAGCGAGACCCTGTCTCAAAAAGACAACCAAAAAAAAAAAAAAAAAAAAAAAAAAAAGGCCCCAAAGAACCCACTAACTAATAATAGCAAAGGCTATGTCTGGGAAGGGTCTGGGGCAGGAAGGGACTCCTAGCTTTTCCATAGAAATTTACATTTTTATGAAAATATTAACAGTCATCATGTACACACTTTCTTTTTAAAGTAAAAGCTAAAGGGAAAGGCAAAGTGGCCCCCGTGTGGCACCACAAGCAGAAAGGACCACTCACGGTTCTTCTCCTCCTTCAGGGCCTGCCTGTTCTTGTACCAGATGACCTGAGGGAGCGGGTAACCATTCCTCCCCACACAGGTGGCCACCTGAGAAGGACAGGGTGTGAGTGAGTGTCCTGCCTCGACGCCCACCAAGCCCACCTTAGCCCCGTTCCTGCTTGCCGCTGGTGCCCAGGCCTAGCTCACCTCCTCTGGCTCCTGGCTGTTCACGGAAATGCCGTTGGTACTGATCTGGATGGTTGGCTCCTCTGGAGCTTCTACAAGGGAAGGGAAATGAGCAGGGGACATGGGACCCCACTTCCTTGACCCACACTGCCCCAAAGGCAGGAATAGGGCAGGGGCACTCACTGTAGACTCGGAGCTGGATGCGGTGCTCCTGGGACCGAGGGCGCCGGCTCTGACACAGGAAGACTCGCTCGTCGTGGGGGCCGACTTGAGCGATGGCCAGAGTGGGCCCTGGGCCCTGGAGGCTGAGGCGGTGCTGATACTCGCCAGGTTCGCTTTGGCCCTGGCCCTGGCGCACACGAAAAATGGGCGTTCGCTTCTCCTTGTGGACCTGGGCGGAGGGGACAGAGAGGTGAGGGTGCTGGGAGCACGTGGGGGCAAAGCCTCCACCCCGACCCCTGCCTGTGGAGCCCAGGGAACTCACAACAAACCAGTCCACATGGCTGAGGTTGCCTGCGGAGTCCAAGGGGCACCTCAGAAGGGCTGTGCTGCCCACTTCCACCTCCACCAGCTCGGGTGTAGGCTGCTCTGCCTCTCCAGGCACACCTGGGGTGAAGGAGGGGGCACCCCAGCAGCTGTGTCAGCTCCAACTGCTCTTCGTCCCCTCCCCTCACACCACTCACTACAGCTGTTTGGCCACCGGAAGGTCTGGAGCAGGCCTTGCCCTGTCCTAACACCCAGCGTCACTGCCCATCCTCTCCAGTGCAGGGGATCCCTGGTCCTTGGGGCACAGACTGAGCGCTGGGCACCTGCTAGCAGAGAGGGGCAACGCGGGCTCAGGGCCAAGAGGAAGGCCCCTTTCCTCCTGGGGCCCCCTCCCCTCCTGCTGAGTGAGCTCAGAGTGTGAGAATGCAAGGCATGTGCCAGGCTGGGCACACAGGCCCCTTTGTGTCCCACCCCCAGGGGAAGACGTCACTGCTCTACCCTCTGCCCTCAAAGTCTCCTCCCAAAGTCCCCCAGAAGACCCAGTGGGCAACTGCAGCCAGAAGCTCCAGTCTCATACTCTCAATGAACATTCCACACACTGGAGTCTGGTAGTGCGGAGGGGTCAGAGGCTCCCCCAGGGGTCAGGGCCACGGCCAGGCAGTGGGCACCAGTGACGTCAGTGGTGCCAGCATGCTGCCAGCTCTGTGAGGAGGTGATGTCACTCAACACCATCTGCTTGGACCCTGGGATGCCTGGGTTGCCCTGGGCTGGCTCCCAGGCAGGAAGGGCAGGTGGAGTGGTCTTCAACCCAGAGCAGAGGCCTTGGATCCCTGACTCTGTTTCCCTGGAGCTAGCAGGCAAGATGGGGCCGGACCTGGTGCAGCATGGCACCCGATTTAGCCCTTTCCCTGGAAATAAGGTCAGCCCGGGAGGCAGGAGACCGGAGCACCCCAGGGACGTGGTTGGCAGGGCCTGAGCACTGGAAGTGGGTAATGCCAGTCTTCCTCTCCCCAGCCCGACAGCGCCTGGGACTGGGGTAAGGAGTCAGGAGGAACGCGCCACGCTGCCGCGGGCCCTAAGCTCCGAGGTGTCCTGGCGCTCTTCCACCTGACCATGGTCCCCCAAATAAGTCTGCAGGCGCTTTCACTGTGAAAACCCTCCATCTCTCATTTCTGCCACCTGCGATTCTGTCACACACACCCCCCCCCGCTCAACCCCGGGAGACGCCAGGAGACCCACACCACCAGCAGCCGCTGCCAACGCCCTACCGGGCGGGAGCGCCCGTCCCTCCGCCTCCCGCTCACCTCCAGCCTGGCGCGCGGCCCGGACGGGGGGAGGGGGCGGCGCACCCCTCCAACAAGGGAAGCTGCCTTTTCCAGCAACAGGCAGGCGAGGGGTCGGGGGCCGGGGATGCACCCTAGCTGCGAGCCCCCGCTCGGACTGCAACTGCGGGCCCCCAGGGTGAGCACCTGCGGGGAAGGCTCCCGCGACGCTCCCCCGAGAGGCTCGGTTCCACCTCTTCCCGCTAGCGGTCGCAGCCTCCTCCCCGCCAACCCGGTCCTGCTCCCGGGATACTCTAGGATTTGGGCTGCAAACTGGCTGCAAGAGTTGCACGCGCGCAAGGCGCCCGGGACCGAGGACCCGGGCAGGGCGCAGAGCCCCGGCTCCGCCGAGCTGCAGGCGCTGCTCCTTGCACACTTGGCCGGAGACCCGGGCGCGACTGTTGCGGGGCGCGGGTCCCCAAGAACTCACTCACCCTCAGCGCGGCGATCGCAGGAGCACAAGGCAAGCAAGACCGCGCAGACCAGCCTGGGCAGCCCCATACTTCCCGACCGGAGGACCAGAGCCAAGTGAGCAGCTCGCGGCTG